AGTCTACTTTATTAAGTTCAATGAACTTGCACCACTCTTAAATATTTTCGTAGATAAATAGGTATATATGTTTAGTTGCTTAGTTTATTATTTTAAATAAATGTAGCGAATATAGAAGAGCGACTTGGGCTCATTATTATTACGTAAATCCACAAGGGAAGGCTTCTTCATTAGCTGTGTCCAAACAAAACGGCTCATTGACTTTCTGATAAATTGCAAAGTAAGACGCAGTGACAACCTGGCATAGAAAAATTTGCAATAAAATTAAGGCCAGTGAAAGTAACCTTTAAAAAAATGTTGTTTATTCGGGTTAATTGCAATAGACGACCGTATTTTTCGTTTTCAATTCCAGAATTATCAGTGTCATCACGTAGGGATACACTTAGTTGTCATTTTAAATTGTACGAGCGTGTCGTATTTGACATAAGTAGGGATTTATAAAAAGGTGGTAATAAGGTATGCAAGCCCTTTTTCCTTTGTCGGCCACTCGTTCGCAACGTGATAGGAATCTTTGCGTACGGACGCTTGAGATTTGTTAACTCGAATGCAAAGAATTTTAGAAATGTAACGCACTAAGCGAAAACGTGAAAGTGGCCGACGATTCATTCATAGATTTTCGTAAGCTTTTTTAGTTTGAAATTCATAATATACTGCTTTCGAATGTTGTGCCTTTGCAGGTATTTAAGGCTTGTAATACGTATAATGATTGTAGTATATGTTTTCATTTATTACAGAGACATAAATGTGAATTCTAGCGTAAAGGTAAAGGCGGGTATATACGAGGCGGGACCGAACGGCCGCATCATTGTGTGGACCAGCCGCGGGCGCGATTACAATGCCGGCGCTGTGACATTTTCACTAATGGTTTCAGGGTAGGCACAATAAAACGACAATACGACAAGATATAAGGCGGCAAGTGAAAATTTTATGACAAGATTAATTAAAATTGTATTGTAACATATCCAATATAGCAAAATAATTTAAAAAGCTCTACGTCAATTAAGAGTCACAAAGTTATTTCTTCATACTAGTTGCTATTTATGTAATCAATATAAAGTTAAAATTTAAAGTTACAGCCTTTATACGTCCCACTGCTGGGCTCAGGCCTCCCCTCATTTCTAAAAGGGTTTCAGGGCAAGGAAGTATCCACCGCGCTGCCCCATTGCATGTTGGCGAACTTCACATGTCTTCGAAATATTTTTTTTTTCTTATTTCTCAGAGATGCAAGTTTCCTCACGATGTTTTCCTTCACCGCTGAGCACGTCGTAAATTAACACTTAAAATTGCAATTAACAATTTCATTGGTGCCGACGGAGATCGAACCCGGGTTGGTCGCGTACTGTGTAATTTACAGCGAATGCTAAACATCTTAGATTTCCTGAGCATTCCGTGCACAGGAGACGTGGTAACTCAGATGTAATAAATGTAATGAAATTTAATGGGATGTACGGAGTGTCATAATAACAGCGAGTAGCCAATGCGTATTTCATGAAACGTTCCGACTTTTTAACCTGCGGACCGTTTTTCAATGAGAACTCTGTACGCGCTGTGCTTTGATTTCTGAAAGGGTTTATCCACGTTACTCTACGCCGCTTTTTACGTTTTTATCATCGTCGAATGAATTGCTTTTAAAGTGACTACAAAAAATCAATTTGCAAATGTCTCGCTGAATTCAATGTATGAAATGTGTAACTCTTTTATGTAAAGTGTCAATACCGGTATTGATTTAGAAAAAAAATATGGGGAATAATTTTAATAATTTTAATAAATTGAAACACGTAGTCAACCATGTAGTGGCAGCGTGAGAATCTCCACTACCCCATATCGTCCCATGGGTGTTGGGTAAGGGGCGACAGAGGAAAATGAATCAGAATACAATTTATGAATGTATAATGGCTTAACGACAAAAGAGAAATGAAGGGTAACGTTTAAAAATTAAGAGCGGCACAAACAACAATAAAATAAAATCAAAATGTGTTAAAGGTTTAAACATTTGAAAATGCAATTAGAAGTCAAAACTAGATAGGCTATAAATATAAAATAAACAATGGGATCCCAACAAGCATTAATTATAAATATGAAATACAAATGAGTTACTACTCCATACGGTACACAAGAATCTTGAACGAGAATACGAGGCGGTAGAACTTCTTTTAGGGGTCCGTCTTTGTTATCAACCTCTTGTCAAATTATGTGGTCAACCGTTCCGGCTTAGAAGGTAAGAAAACCAGTAGTAGTAGGTACAGGCTGGAGGTATTATACATTTTTAATGTACGTAGATAACGTAAGTTTAATATAACGACATTCTGATTTTTGACGATATTTTACGATTAATAATGTGATGATATTCTTTACGTTTTTTACATGATAAGGGTGATAAACGAGCACATTTTCCAACTGATGGTATGGCTTTGGTCGATAGACACCTACATCTAACCTTGATTAAAAATCAAAATACAGATGCTTAAGAGATACAGGCGTTACTTTGCGGAAGTCCATTATTTTAAAGTTGGTAAAAAATTCAGCCACTACAGAGTCTAAAGTCTAGTTTACCTGAAGATGCCTCGTGTACAGGCGAAACACGTGTCGTATTGTCGTCAGTGGTGTGTCTTTCCTTGTGTAGTGGTGTTGGGAGTAGTGGTGGTGGGATTAGTGGTGACGGTGATAGTGCACGCAATTGAGGTAGGGCGGGAGGTGCTCTTGAAACTAGGTAAGACACATCTTTTTATTTTATCGAGCGGATGTACGCGAAGTAATTTTTTATCAACTTTAAAATACAGATGCTTTGTCACCCCAGAGAACTAAGGTGGAATGCCTCGTTTCCAGTGAAAGGGTTTCCGGTTCGTTACACTTAAATATACGAAACAGCAGAATTAAGCTGCTGGTATTCTGATAGAGCGTGGTTCTTCCATGTCGAGGGTCGACTCGAAGAACCATTCGTGCTACAACCATAACTTTACTGTAATAATCCTATTTACAATTAACAATTGAAAAAATAGCTTAAAGTTTAAAGCGGTAATAATTTTGCACCGTTCTCAGCAATATTTTGTAGAAATGCTTCCATAATTGTACAAACGGGTCTGTGTATTGTCACAAAGTAGAAATTTCACGCAAACGCTGTGAAAGCTTGCACTTTGTTAAATGAGAGCGACTGCAAAACTCTGAACGCAAACCACGCGAATGTCGTAAATGTACGCCACTGTGTTATTTGGCAATCCTCGTAGCTGAGTTTATACACACCCACGCGTTGTCCTATCAAAACAGACACTTCTCTTTAATTACGCGATATATCGTGATTAACGCTCGTAAGAATAAATATTTTTCGTGTTAAATTGAGGCAATTTTTTTATAGTATAAGGATGACAAACGAGCACACAGTCCACCTGATGCTAAGTGGCTGCTGCGGCCCATAGACATCTACATCTATCCTTGTTTGTGAATCAAAATGCAGATGCGTTGTCACCCGTGACGACTAATGGAATGCCACTTTTCCAGTAAAAAGGGCCTCCGGCCACCTGCACTCACCAAGCGAAACGCAGAGGTAAACCTCTACTTCACGCTGGTATTCTGTGAGGTCGTAGTACCACCTCGGTTCGAGCCGGCCCATCCGTGTGACAGCAAAAGCTGCCGCGTGGCTCTTCCACTGTTAAAATAAGGTGATATTTTGTTGAATTCAAAATGAAAATGGTTTTTTGATGATATTCATGACTAACATTTTCTTCTAAAGGTATGCGAACTGTAAAAAGTTACTTACGTACAAACGTACACACATCTTTTAAACACAGTAGAATCGGGCTCTCTAGACCACAAACCGTAGAAATACGTTGAAATTTTCAAATATTCAAACAATTACAACAACTTCAAAACAAGGCAAATATACACACATATATGTAACTTTTGGAAAATAACAGTTTATAATTTTAAACGGAATGTAGTTTTTTTTTATTGTAAGTCAGTGCTTGACTACTATATCACCGTTGTTGCAGCCGAAATGGTAAGCGCATTAACTTAGATTAATAAAAGTTTACTCGCTCTTGTCTTGAAAGAAGACACATTGCAATCAGACAGGCAGACAGATGCTGGCAAATTTTTCCACTCTATTGTTGTAAGCATTACGTATGATGAAAAAAAAACATTTGGTTCAAAAAAATTGGAAAGAAACTGGCCGAGCGTCTGATTGTCCTATGATGATATGGAGAGAGAGAAATTTAGACGTGGAATCCTTGCGCACACTTTCCGAAATGTATCCTATAGTATACCGGATGGCTGGCAATTTTGAGCCTGTGCTCGAGACTGATAAAATTGGCGTTACTCAGATTGAGGACATCATTTATCCTCTTAAAATACCTTTCCATTAAGTCTAAAGCTGAAAGGTGACATTTCGCAGCATTAGAACATGTAAGAATGCAATGCGGAACTATGAACGACCGGTTCTATGGAGTATGTAGCTGTCCTGGCCTAAAGTATTGAAGCATCTTTGCTCTTCAAGGAAACTAACGGTGAGCTCACACCGCACTTTTTAAGATAGTAATACAAAATATAACTTTACACAAAAAGATACACATTTTATTAAAATAATTCTAAAATGGCCCGCGGCGTCGTGCTACGCCGCGCTGCGCCTCGAGATGCCTCGAGATGCCTCGCGGCGTAGCGCGGCGTAGCACGGCGCATCACGACGCAGCGGTGCTTTGTCGGTAGGCGCAAGGTGCAATGCGGTATGCTGCCAGGACTATACGATGCGCCTCGCGACGCCTTGCGAAACCATTGATCTCTTCAATCATCGTCGCGTCGCGGTGTGAACTGACCCTAACATTAACAACTATTATACCTACATAGTGTTGTTAGTTTGGATATAAGTTAATCAAAAATAATTAAATATTGTGCAAAAACTTCTGTTAACTTTTTAATTTATATAATATTTTATTTAAATGTTGTATGTAATATTATCTATTTCCAATTAATAAGGAACTACCGTTTTATATTTAAAAAAAACAACTTACCAATAAAATTAACATGTAAAACTGCCAAAATCAGGAGTTGCGCGAGGGGTCCACCTCCACGGGATTGCGCGCCTGTAGCCATCTTGATTCAGCGTGTCACGTCCCGATGCTGCCTTCCACCACTCTTTAGTTTCCATATGTATTTCAAAATTGACATATTCAAGTTTCTTTTGATGTTGTCTTTCGTGTCACAGAATATCATAATTTTCGAATACCTGAAAAAAATATTGTGTCAATTAAATCAGCATATGTTAAGATTGTAATTTTAATTGGTGGATTGGGAAAAAAATAAATTTTACAAATAGGCATTGTCTGCAAACATCTTCAATATGAATGATATTAGTTTATGTTCTATTTTTGTCTAGTATAAATTTATAGTTTTCTTTGTAAATGTTATGAAATAAAAGGGTATGCTAAGCAGCTTAAATTTCGCTTGTTGATATACATACTACATCGTAAAGATAATATAAGAAATATAAACATTCCAGAATCTTCGCACGATGCCGCGTAACGTTAAAATATTCGTATTTTTATTCACATTCCGGCAGCAGAGCGCGGGAGAAACAGTCGAACGTTATCTAAAATATGAGTGAATGTGGGGCGGCATGGTATGGTGGCTACGTGCGGTCGGCTCTAAAAGAATTTGATATCAAAGATTTGCCCGCGGCGGTGCTAAAATGAACCTTGTGGTTATGCCATCGCTGAAATGAAAATAACCTAAAATCTACCCTATTACCACGGACCTAAAATAAAGTCCATGTCTTTATCTTATTAAAACTAAAATAATGTATGAGAAACAAATTTTTATTCCTTTTTCAATGCTGTTGCAAAGAATTTATTGATTTTTCTATTAAATCATCTCATATTTTTAATTAAGCATGAGAACTATATCAACAATTTAAGCACAATTTATTTACTTTTTCAACAAAGTAATGATAGACCACGAATGTTTCACCTTACCATTTTACTAATGCCTGAAAATATGATCAAAAGCTACTATTAAAAAGCAAAGGATTTTCGAAAATAGGACACCCAAGTATATTGAATAAAGCTAATGAATAAAGTTAAATACACAAAGTGGTCGTCAATAATAAAAATATGTTTAATAAATAATCAAATTTGGCACATACACGTGTGAGCCTGTATATCTGAACGGAATCAACATGGCGGGCGAACCATTTCTTACTGCATAAAATTCTCAGTAATGAGGCCTAGCACTAGGACAAATGTAAGCGGTTATTGTACTTAATTAATGACACACGTAGTTAATAATCTTGCTTTATTACTTGAACCTATGTGCTCTTATATAAATTAGGTAAATCGATATCTTTCAGGCTTTCGTCCTATTATGAAATAATACGAGCATTACGTTTCATTTTTGGCTAATGGAATGGATTTATATAAGTTCCTTTGCGCCCTGAGGAACTTTTATTTTATGTACTTCCTTTTACGAAAAAATATAATTTCGAACCATTTGCAGAGCAAACGTAGTTAGTTGTTAGTCTATTATTACTGTACGGGAAAGCGAGCAACACGATACGAAATTTTGTTAGCGTCAGTACCTACACTTTGCGCCTGTTCGTTTTCTACGTGAACACAAAAGATGTTGCTTGATATACGGTTCTATAAGAAAAAATAGTAGTTTAATTAATATTTATATTATTTATCTGATTTCCAGATGTGATGCGTAGAAAATCATTCGTCATTTTGATTTATTTTGTATCTAATTGTTTATGCGAAATATATAAGATTATATTTCTAATCAAAACGGATAACCTACGGATCCGAAGACTGAAGCTCCAATGGGCCGACCGGGTCGATGCAGTTTTAAGAAGTGGCAATCAATGGGGAGGGAAAATGCTCGCTCTGTTCTGGCTATCGCTGTGCTTGACAATCCCCCACTAGATAGATTATGGATCTTATGAAAATTTGCCCAACAAAACAGTGCTAAAATATATGAGGAAGGTCTATGTTCAGCAATAGACAGCAATGACGATGATGATATTTACGAATCTCTAGACATTGTCTGATAATATATATATCATGCCGGCTGATTTCCAACAACGGCTACCTGGTAATCGGTAGCTATTGGCTGCATATTGGGGGATATTGAAACGCCACAAATATGTATGCACAAGCTTACTCGATACGCAAACCCAACTTACTCGCCCACTTTGAAAAATACATTCTCCTACACGTTCGTGCATAACGTATATCGTTTATGATAATATTTTTTTTCACGTCCATAATACGAGTGGTACAAAAGAAGGGAAGGAAGAAAAAAGTAAATATGCAATAAATTACATAAATACTCACTAAATTAAATAAAATTGTCTAAAAAATTGCCATTATATATTAACTTGTTCCATTTTTTAGTATTACTAGTTTTGCTCATACTATTTTGTCGCAAGATTCAGTATAATTTTTAGTATAATTTTGGAATTTTCACGAACACCAGATAATTACAATATTTAGAGCTGCAGGATGTTTTCGCCTCGGTACAGCAAATTATTCTAAACCATTAGCAAATCGTTATGCAACTGCTGCGCGCTGTACGAACGGTGGTCGTATACGAAACCATCGAATACATTGCGCTCATTGTCGGGCTGAAATGTTATAGCCTTCTAGAACTGTTATTACAACTTTTATTTTTTGTTGCTTCTTGTAAAAGTCAAACTAAAATAAAATATACTAACTTTTAAAACGCAATAATGGTATACCAAAAGTGCAAAATTAAGAGAAATTAACTAGTCTGGTCATAAATATTGTAATTATTTAAAGGTATTTCTTTCTTTATTCTTTATCGCATTCCTTAGAACAAAAAAATACAAAGGGCGGACTTAATGCATAATGCAGGCATTCTCTACAAGTTAACTCATGGAGTGGTAAGAATTTGATGTAGGTGTAGCAATATCGAATTAAAAAAATTGTATTGAACTATGAGTCCCGGAGAGCGAGAACGCCTGCCAGGGAGTGGGGGTGCTGCTGTCTTCTCGGTTGGTCGATGTTATGACTGAATATAAGGTTGTGAACTCAAGACTTCTCTGGGTTCGCTTTAAATTGGGACTGACAAAGTTATTCCTTTTGGCTGTTTATGCGCCGGTAGCTTCGTCGTCCAGGGCTGAGCTGGAGGAGTTTTGGGAGAATGTAAGAGAAGTTCTAGATTTGGCTAGGGGAAACGAAAGAATTGTTGTATGTGGTGATTTGAATGGATGGGTTGGTACCGCTCGACCAGGGTACGAGTCGGTACTTGGAAAGTTTGGCGATAAAAGGGTTAATGATGCTGGCAAGCTTATACTGGCGGTGTGCAAGCTAAAGGGTCTTCTTGTGACAAACACTATGTTTAATCACAAGAAAATCCATATGTATACTAGAGAACGAAAGAATGAGAGAAGTATGATTGATTTGTTCCTGGTGGATGAACGACTGCGAAAACAGGTGATGGATACGCGAGTGTTCAGGGGTGCCGACCTGGGAACGGATCACTATCTAGTGATTACTAGATTTAGGGGTCTGTTCGCGGGTTGGCGCTACCGGACGGCAGTAACAGAACCACAGTCGGTCTGTCGCATCCGAAGCTGGAAGCTTCAGGAAGCGGATACTAGGGACAAATATCATGCGAGGGTAGCCGAAAAGCTTGACACCATCGATGGCAGAAAATAATGTGTAGAAAGAACTTGGCAGAACCTTAGGGATGGAATGGTAAGTGCAGCGGAAGAAGTGTGTGGAACAATAAAAAGAGGCAGTAGTAAAAGAAGAGATGCATGGTGGAATGATGAAGTGAAAGAAGGTGTAAAGAAGAAGAAGAAAGCATGGTTAGACTACTTGGCCTCTAGTAATGATAAGGATATGAGAGAGAAGATGAAAGAAAGATATAGGCTGCAGAAAGTTCACACGAAAGCACTGATTGAGGAAGTGCGTGAAAGGTGTAGAATGGAAGCGGACGAAAGATTGTCGCACAACTTTAAGGAGAACTCCAAACTCTTCTGGAAAGAGGTTGGAAGGACCCGAAGTGGTGCGACGGCTTTAAGAATGAACAAAGTGCTTTCGAGAACTAATGACGTCCTCTCAGAAAAATTGGACGTCATGCAGCGATGCAGCGAATTTTATAGAGAAATGTATGCGTATGATGATCTTAGTGAGGGATCCGGGGATGACGCCGTGACTGGTACGCCAGACCCGGACCTCGATGACACTGAGGTCATCAGGATGAAAGAGATTGAACGTGCGATTCGAAGTTTGAAATGTGGTAAGGCTGCGGGACTAGACAGAGTTACTGCTGAAATGGTCAAGTATGGTGGGCCTCGCGTCTGGGACAGCTTTCATCTGCTGTGCAATTTGTGCTGGCGGACGGGGGATGTCCCGGATGATTGGCGATCCGCAGTCATTGTGCCTTTATATAAAGGTAAAGGTTCACATTTTGACTGCGGGTGCTATCGGGCGATCAGCTTGACCAGTTTAGCAAGTAAAGTTTACTCGAAGGTTTTGACACGTAGGATGCAAGAGAAATCGGAAAGATTTCTATGGGAGGCACAATGCGGATTTAGACCTGGAAGAGAATGCACGGATCAAATGTTTTCTCTCCGCATGATCACGGAGAAGCTTCTGGCTGCTAACCAGAAGATTTTCTGTGTTTTTCTGATCTTGAGAAAGCATTTGATAAGGTTGTAAGGAAGAAAATGTGGGAACTGTAGCCGGGGTATGGTGTGGATGGTCGATTGCTAAGGGCTGTGCAGTCTCTTTACTGTGACTGTAAAGCCTGTGTGCGGGTAGGGCATGACCTGTCACCCATGTTTAACGTCCAAACGGGCGTAAAGCAGGGTTGTGTCATGTCTTCCTGGCTGTTCATACTGTATCTCGACAGCTGTTTACAGAAGCTGAAAGATAGTTGTTTGGGTGTGAAATTGGGTGACATTAAAGTAAATTGTCTGCTGTATGCTGATGATGCAGTGCTTATTGCACCATCAGTGGCAGAACTGCAGGCATTAGTCACGTGTATGAAAGAGGAATGTGAAATTAAAGGTCTCCGTTTGAATGCTAATAAAACTAAGGTTCTGGTATTTGAAAGGGACGAAGAGAGAA